TAAAGATAGCTATATTTATTGATTTTTTTTAATTGCGTTCAGGTGTTTCCGCAAGTTGTGGACCAATTATTGGCGATCGAAGTTGGCTGCAGGTGGCGTAGAGCAGAACTCTCTACCTATGGCAACACTTAACTTTCCCCATTAGCGTGCAGACAGTCATAGAGGGAGGATCTCTCTCTTGATTTTCATATAGATTAAAATCTTTTAACTTTGAAAACTATATGGAACTGAAAACTGCATTAAACATGGTTCTAAAGAAAAGTATCACAGAAATTTTAGGAAGTATTTTTATTAAATAAAAAGGGAAAATATTGTGGTGAGAAGGGCTAAAGGCATGAAACCGGTCTCTCCCCAGATGGCGTATTCGAGTGTTGCGATCAGTGGCAGTGATTATGGTTACGAAATGTAACTACTTCGAGTGCGGATGTGTTTGAACTTTTAAATCAGTGCTACGGTAATAGCATTGATTTTAATTGAGAGATCTAGATGGCGCCTACATTTATTTGAAAATTATTTCATACAACAGGAACGGTCCTTAAAACATTTTTGAGGGTCTATCTCATTAAATGNAAGGCCTTCTTAGGTATTCTTTGGCCAAGGCTACGGTAATAGCATTGATTTTAATTGAAAGATCTAGATGGCGCCTACATTTATTTGAAAATTATTTCATACAACAGGAACGGTCCTTAAAACATTTTCGAGGGTCAATCTCATTAAATGCGGCACTTTTGATCACCACAGAGAAAATATAAATCACTTGATTGGTGAGTTTTATGTGCGAATTTATTTTTCGCAAATGGATGGTGATTGGGCGAAAGTGAACCATTATCAGTGAGAATGATCTTGAATGCTTCGTTGGATATGCGGTAAATGTTTTTGCGTCGTGATTTTTCTAAAACTTGGACAATACGAGTTAAAAGCTTGAAAGTGATATTCTTTTTAAATATTGGCATTAAAAAATTTTAGCAGAAGAAATCGGCAAGGGTATTTTTTGTTGACCTTTTTAAATAAAAGCAGCCCTTGCTGCAGATTTATTAAAATAATAAATTTGTTCATATTTAAACGAAGTAAAAATGTTAAGAATTAAAAGCTCTATCCCTTTATGTGTACGAAGTAGCTCGAAGTATTTTGGTTTAAAATTATTTAATGTTAAACAACGACCTCAAGTTATAATAGCAATTTACAGGTTAATATTATTTGCTTCTTATAAAATATCTAAGCATACGGAGTGATTTATTTGTTTATAATTTTTTTTAAATGTATAGTTATAGCTACTTATTTGCTCATGATAATGGTTACCATATTTTCAGTTTTCATACACTTTTTTTGCATGTTTTAGAAAATACCTGCATTTAACTTTAATTCTGATTCAGTATGTTTGTAATTTCCCCCCATTATGTTAACAAAAAATCCGGGGCATATGAGACTAGAATAGACATTGTTGTAAGGATTTTATGCTCCAGGGCTTTTTTCTGAACTGTAAAGCACAATTCTAAGAGGACAACAATTCAAACAAGAACCACTAATCAAACAAGGATCACAATTCTGAAAGGTCTTTGATGATCTCTCCTCCTTTTCTTTTTCTTCTTTTCAGTTCTTGAGAAATCCATATGTTCTCAATCTGATTTGCAAAGTTAAAATGAATTGTGAGCTTTTAGAGTAATGATGTACCTTTTCTTAATTGAAAAATTTCTTAGTATAATCGTTCTAATTTGTTAAAAATCTGTGCTTAAAATTCTTATAAAACATATTAAAAACATTCTTATAAAGTTATTTGTATTAAACATATGTTTCCTTTTTTCCAGAACGAAATTTTATTACTCAAAACTGCCAAATCTTTACCAAAATTGTTTTTTGGACAGTTCACCATTATTCCATGTCAGAAATTTTTCTACAGGTAAGCACTTTACTTCAGTTTAAAATACTTGTAATTTATAAATAAATTTAATTACATGCAAATTGTTGTATAAATGTTTTGAAAGGTTATTTATTTTGCTCACTTTTCTTACAAAAAACTTCGAAACAAATTATTATTTTTGTTAAATTATGTAGCTGGTAGCAGGGCACTATAGATGTAACTAAATTGCACCTATTATTTACAGTTATTTCCGATCAATTTCATTTTGCTGTTTTAAATGCTCTTCTACTGATGTTAGGGAAATTAAAAATCTGTGTTTATCTTTTCTGTATTTTCATACAATTCTACCAAAAAAAAAAACTACCCTAGGTATCAGATTTAGTGTGAAATCACCTATCAACTGATTTACAGGTTATGTTTATTTTTAAAAAGTTTTATAATGAATTGGTATATTATAATAGAATAATAATTAATTTATTTAAAACTGTGGTTAGTGCATTCTAAATATTGACAAAAAAAGGAGCTAAAATAATGTTAGGAATTTACTTTCTGTGCTAAATAATCTCTTTTGGAAGTTAATAAATTTTTATGGCAACCACAAATTGAATGAAAATTTAGAAATTTTTTTTTTAGATAAATTACAATGGTAACCATGCTGAATAAATAGGTTTGAATTTTGAGTAAATTGAATCCAAAAGTAAAACTTTCTTTAAGCAATAAAAGTTTTTGGATTCTTTTTAAATGAATATTTTTTAATTTATTGCTATAATCTTCATTGTTAAAAAAACAAAGTGATCATAAAGGCAGGATTCTCTTTACAATTATAAAATCATTATTACATAATTAATTTTCAACTATACCTTCTACAGTACAGAACCCGTTATCCGGAAATCAGAAAACCGGAAAACCAAAAAACCGGAACGAAATTCGAGAAATTTTCACGCCATTTTTTTTAAAAGATATTTTTTTTCCTCATAAGATTTTAGGATTTTTCTTTCTTTTTTGAAGGATGTTTACCTTACCATCACTTTGGAAATAATCATTAGTGTATTACTTCATCGTTTTTTCCTCTTTTTAAGATTATTTCCATAATTTTTTTTTTTTTAGTTGGGTTTAACAATAAAAAAAACTGCTTTTTGTAGTGATTCAGAAAACCGGAAAAATCAGTTATCCGGAATAGCGATGGTCCCGATCGTTCCGGATAATCGGTTCCCTACTGTATTTTA